ACACGCACACGCACACGCACACGCACACACACACACACACACACATTACCTTTGGATAAGAGCAGTGATCGGGGTCACTTCCGGCCAGTACAGCGAACGCCTCGTACAACTCATCTACTGCACACTGATCCATCACAGCACACACACACACACACACACACACACACACACACACACACACACACACGACACGCGCGCGCTGAGAGTTACTGAACCGATGAAAGAGCAGCTGTCCTAAGCGCGAATTGCCGCAGCACGTCACTTCCGGTTTGCGAGTCAACACGTGCTGGTGTAACATTGTTTTCATTTGAAAGCATGCGTTTCAGCAGCAGCATAATTGTGTGGAATTATTAACATAATTTTAAGTCCAGACCAGCTGAAATTATCAAAACGTTAATGTCACTGTTTTATTATTACTATCAGTATGCGTCGATGTTATTACTGTGCTGCTATTTTATCTGCGTTGTCAGGGTAACGTGATGCGTGCCGACGTCAGCGGCCGGGATCGATTCTCGGAGCAGGAGGCGGAGCTTCCAGAGATGCGCAGATATTAGGGATGGGCGATACCACTTATTTTGTTTTCGATACGATACCGATATTTTTCAAGGCAGTATCGCCGATACCGATACGATACTTCTGAACTAAACTTTTAAATTATGAAATTGATTCAATTATTAAATGACTAAGAGTAAAATGGGTAATGATAACCTCTTAACTTTATGTTTAAAACACATTTTAACATTCAATACGCCTTAATTGTAAATTATTAGGTTATATTTTTGTTTACACATGATTCAAATCTACAAATACTACAGTTGAACTACGGTCACTTTAGGGAAACCATGGTTCATTATCATAAGGGACTGCCAGTGACCGGCTGCTGCATGCATAAAATGCAACCTTTTTATTCTGACAGCGTATTATTTATATTAACATTACAGAATAGAACATGATCAATATTATCTTTCAACGTTCAATTTAAATAATTGTAATTGCACAAACTATGTAGGCTACAATTTCAGTTTGTTTATTGTGAAATAACTCTGTCCTTCTGTCCTCTGATGAGCATTGTTCAGGGCTGCCGTTCCCAAAAGCTTTAATGCTTTCTTATGATACTTTTGGGAGACGCAGCACAGTTTGAATGCACTGCCAGCAGTGAGTGAACGCTCTCTGTGATGGAGAAGTTCTGTCTTGCAACATGTGTGTGTCCAGATGAGCAGGAACATAGTTATGTCCTACACAATTACTCGCTAACAAAGGTTATTCGTCCAATTCAATGCATATTGTACGCATTATTATTATTATTATTTTTGTTAAATAAACAAAACCACTAGTACATAAAACGCACCTTAGTATCGATATTTTTTGTTTGAGTATCGATACTTTCGATACTCGCATCAGTATCGATATATCGATACTTCGGATCGATACGCCCATCCCTAGCAGATATCTGCTCCCTTCTGTCTCAGTACTGCGCACTCAATCCTGCTGCTGGACGCTGAACTCCAAGTGTTTGCTGACATTTAGCATCTGATGCAACTGGTCCTTATATTATATCCCCAATATTTCCTGCCTATTACTCCCTGGATGATCGTCACCCGGCCTCTTCTGTGGTGTAATAGCTGAAGCTGCTGTGGTGTAATAGCTGAAGCTGCTGTGGTGTAATAGCTGAAGCTGCTGTGGTATATATAGCTGCTGCATACATCTGAATATTTGGGTTGAACTGTTCTGGAACAGTGTTGTAAATACAACTTAACCACTGATTTCTAGTCGTGTCCTCTTTTGGAAGACCAAACAAAGTATTTTCGCTTTCACAACTAAACCCAGTGTCTTCACAACATGGCGGCGGCGGTGGCAGCAACAATAAAGTAAAGCATTCTTTCTTTGCGTCAACTTTTGGGCGGCGTTATGCAAATCTTCCTACACAATGATGTAAACATGTGGGGGCGTGTTTGAACAAGGTGTTTTAGGTAGGTGTGGACGAGTCTTAACTTTTATAAAGAATATCTCTTTAGGTTTGAGACTTTAGTCTTTGCAACTTTAGGGATCTTATCTATTCATGAACAGCTTGTAACTCCAGCGGTCAGGCGCGTCTGCTTCTTCATGTTTAAGCTACCCTACAGTAACCTTTGGCCCTCTAGCAGCTGAAGCCTGAAGCTGTAAATTACTCGCAGCATTGTTGTAGTAATAACAGTAGAGCCTGACCGATATGGGTTTTTTGTGACCGATACCGATATTAGGGAGTAAAAATACAGATACCGATATATCGGCCGATATTCTTTGTGTAGGCTATATTATAGTACAGTATAGTCAAACGTTTGGACACACTTCCCATTCGTGTGTCCAAACTTTTGACTGGTACTGTATAAAGAATACAGTATATACATAAACAGAATATATACACAAACACATTTTTTGAAATAACTCAAATGTGCTGATCAAACACTTATATTGATGTGACAAAAACTTATATTGATGTGACAAACATAGGCCTATGTAGTGGAGGCAGGGTATCTAACAATTTAACAATAAACTTTATTATTATTCAATGTGAGTGACATCAGTGCACTTAACAGTAAAGTTCACTTCACTTATTATAAATTAATAAAATAAAAAATAAATTAAACAAGGTATCTGTGTAGGGCAAGCAAGCTACTGCCAGACCAATGGGGGCAGGTTTATGCAGGAAGCACAGCTTTTCCAAATGTAAACGTCTAAAATGAATAAATAAGTGTTGTGTATTTTCTGGTAATCCAATGAACATGCAGAACATTCGTATTTAAATCGTCTTTTTGCAGTTTAATATTCACAGACACAGTCTATATATATATATATACAGTGGGACAAATAAGTATTTGATACACTGCTGATTTTTCAAGTTTTCCCACTTACAAAGAATGGAGAGATCTGTAATTTTCATCGTAGGTACACCTCAACTGTGAGAGACCGAATCAAAAAAAAAATCCAGAAAATAACATTGTATGATTTTTAAATAATTAATTTCCATTTTATTGCATGAAATAAGTATTTGATCACCTACCAACCAGCAAGAATTCTAGCTCTCACAGACCTGTTAGTTTGTCTTTAAGAATAAGTGGGAAAACTTGAAAAATCGGCAGTGTATCAAATACTTATTTGCCCCACTGTATATATATATATATATATATATATATGTACTGACCTGTTTTTTATTTATTCATCAAAAATAAGACCAATTCCATGAAATTCTGTGTTATACAGTAAATTCCATTTTTATGACTGGATTCCGCGATTCCGTTCATGTTTTCTGCATCACGGAAATCACAGGGCCCTACTAATGTAGCAAACGAATATGAAAAGCTCATTGTGAGAGTAAAAGACGGGGACATTGTGTCTCTCCAACTAGGTGACAACGTAGTGTTAAATCACCATTCAGCAGACTCAAGCCACCACCGCACTGCCGTCTACTGGACTGCAGAAAGATACTAACTTTTCAATCTGCTCCGTTACGGACTGTACTGACGAACTATGCTGACACCGTCCCAAGCGGAATTCAAATAGTACACTTACAAGTATACTACTAGTACATAGATGTTAGTATACTTACTACTTGAAGTATACTTAAAAAATATACTTCAACATTACTTAAGTATACTTCATAAAATGAAGTGGAAGTATACTTTCTCGTAAGGGTAGGCGGGGCAGAGCCCCTCCAAAATATTCATCCATTTGAAATCATAGAACTGTGTATAAACTAAATCAAACCTACGTTGTTTACTTGTAAATGTGTTCAGTATATTGTTTAATAAATATTTTCTTGGCTTCATGGCTATTTTAGGTCAAAAAGTCAGATGAATATACACAGAAATTTAGCGCTCGGCTTGTAGTAAAGCCATGGTTTTTGGCAGACTGACTTCATTTGTGCAGATTTACTCCACGTGCCATTTGATTTTTCATAAGCATGTTGTTTATAGGAACACACTGAGGCTTTCACTGGAGACCGCTGTTATGACCTCTATGATCCTACAACAAAGAAAAACATACTTGGTAATTAAGAAAACATTTAAGATCAATATCTTCTATATCAATACCAGAAAGTTTATGATGATTGTTAAATTACAACAACTAAGAAATGATTGTAGAAACTGTCGAATTACTAACTGTTCAAATATATTTTACATATTTCTTTGGTTTTTTTCTAGAATCTTGTACTTGTAGAGACACACCTCTCCGCTCCAAACCCATATGTACAGAGACGAGCAAATACATGCATGTAGGACAAGGTGATCAGAAACTGTGTGAGAGACTAACAAGAAAATGACAAACAGACAATATGAATGTGCATATAGCCAATGAGAGGGCCATCTTTATGTTGTTCACCTCTTCCTCGTGCCAGTTAAAACAGGTTGTCCTGAAATACTCAGCAACAGTTTTGAAAGCAAATAAATCTTGCGCAGACCTATAATATCCAACCAGTTCATCCTCAACTACAGCTCCAGGAAAGCAACGCTGCTTGATAGCTTCAACTGTTCCTTCAATTTGAGCTCTAGTCTGTAAGATAACAATTCATGTATTTTAATCAGAATGCACATCAAAATAATTAATCTTATTAAGAAAACATTAGAATAACATTAAGGATCTTCAAGCAACACAATGTGAATTTCAATAACTGAATACACGAATAACTGAAAACGTTCAGTTAATTTGTAGTTTGACATAATATTGGTGGATACAGAAGCACAAAGCTTTAAAGCTCACGTTTTTCATGGTTATGAGATTATAGAAGACCTTTTTTCTTACCCAGTAAAACATAGCTGAAGTATTGAGCTTGAGATATTAGTTACATAAATGATGTACTGTATTAAATGCAAACTGCAAATGACTGCAAACCTGATGAAGAGCTTCATATTTTCTGATCAGAACTTGTCTCTTGCCTGCATCAGTTTCTGTTTCAATTTGGTGCTTCAAGATTTTGAAAGTGGCTTTGTGGTTAAAGGTTAAATCAGTTAACACCAACGTCTGAGCTTTCGTCGTCTGCCGAACTGTCCGAGGGGTGTTTTTCAAAAACTCACTGATTGGCTTTTTACCAATTGTCTAAAGGAAAGTCAGATTAAAAACACCAAAAACAGATCCCAATACAGATGAATTCCAAATCTGAACGCATTCCTGTTCAATCTTGTATTGGTGACAATTACAAGAAAAGAGAATTGAATACATTTATTAATACACTGTATATAAAAAAAGTGTTGTTATTACCATGTCCCCAAAACGACAGGAGCAAGATAGCTTCATCTTTTTCTGAAGATAATCAAACTGATCCTGGAATGTAGCTTTATCAAGGTTAACCTGAAAAATAAGTATGTATTATTTCTGATTTAATATAATTCCATAGCTGACTCCAATCATGCAAAGACCAACCTTTTCCTTGCAGTGCATCCAAACAGCTGAGAATTCATCAGAGAGAAAGGTCTTCCTCACTTTGTCATAATAACAGGCATAACCTTTCTCTTCTGCTTTAGTTGAAGTCACAGCGTACACTAGAAGCACAGTTACATAGTTATTCACTAATTGTGCTCAGCACAAACCTTTTACAGTAACAACTGTAGATCACCCGCTGCTTGGCTACATGATGAACAATAAGCCCTGTTGGAAATATATTAACTCTCCTGTTGTGTTTGGGGTCAAATTGACTTCAAAGCAACTTTGACATCTTCTGAAATGTATCCTGGGGTCAACATTACCCCACACATGATATCTTAGCACATATCATACCCTTACTCTAAACTTACCCTTAAATCAATGCAAATATATTTTTGGTAGCACAATCTGATAGGTAGCATGTTTCGTCGGTACACCGGCACGACCCTAAATTGAAGGCTGTGATGACGATTCGTTTCTTTACCATAATGTGTCAAATGTGTGTTGAATGTAAACTCCTATTATGAATTTAACAATTCAATGTGAATTTATCTGAGAATATTCTTAAATAAGGAAATCTATTCAGTGATTGGTCCATGCATATTTCATCATCCAAAATCCCGTTTGTGGCACAGCAAAGTGTCGTGAATCAACTCTAAAGGTCTTTGCACACCGAGTCAGAAATTTTCGCATGCGTTTTTCCGTTTTTTCATATTTACCATCCTTTCCTATCAAAATGCATGCTACGGATGCGAAAACACAGAAAATCGAACCTGATCCGAATTGTTTTATGACGGACTAAAGTTTCGGAGGCAGTGTGTAAACATGATTGACAACGTGAGGTCGTATTTATTTTTCAACGTATGAAAATTTCGGACTCAGTGTGCAAAGACCTTAAGACTGACACTTAAGATTTAGTCCTACACTTTGCTTAAACTACGACGGAGATGCTTGATAACCAACTTTTAAGCTTAGCTTTGAGCCAAGATTTTTTTTTACACATAAGTCAATTCTTAGCAGCATTCTTGAGAGTAATTCTCAGAGGCTTGATAAATACTGGCCCTGGGCCCATATTTATCACGCTTCTCAAAGTGCAATTTTAGTCCATGAAATTTACTCCTATTTTCAAACTGAAGTATAAAAGCAAGTTAAAAAATTTCTTAAAGCTAAGAATCACTCTTACTCTTCCAGTTATTTAAAGGGGTCATATGATGCAATTTCAAGTTGTCCTTTCTCTT